GTAAACTAGCACTAAAACCAAAAACATGGGAGTTGGCATTTCTAAACTCTCTCCTTTTCCTTGATTGGAGGTTTTCTCACATACTGCATGGTAGAACAGTCAGCATCAACCTACCCAGCTCAGCCTTATTCTTTCCTGGTTTATTACATGTAGATTTGAGGCATATGCTATTCCTCTGCGGAGCTCACTATCTGTGGAATTATACTGCCTTGGTTTGCTAGAACCAGAAGGGTCATTTTTTGGCTTTTCATGGTAGTTTGAACTCCATTCACCAATCAACCTTGGAGAAAGAGACTCATTTAATATTAAAATAAATCAAAGTGAAGTGGACTCTGTGATTTCTGCTCCAGTGGACTCAGTCTACATATTTCCTTTATTAATTTTCTCAAAATCTGTTTACAAAGCATTAACCTCCACCAAATACTTGGTTTCAACTTAAGTTCTGCTGCAGGTTTCTTCTGAATTTGAGAGTTGCTTGTTTCAAGTAAAGATTGTTTTCACCCCCCCACCCCTAATAACCTCAAGCAAGCACCTTAGTGGGTGGTGAAGAAACTTTTTTTCTGAGTGCTTTGCTTCTTTTGCATGAACCTTGAACTATGCAGACAAGCATTACTTGCTTCCCCCACCAGAGTTTTTGATTTGTACCATTTATCAAGCTAGAAGTGCCAACCTTACCAACTTTTTTTTTTTTACTTTGGGTTGTTTGTACAATTGGTCAAATGCCAAGGACACCAAGGATGTTTGATATTTGCACTGCATTGTAAATGCAAGCCTTTTGAGGCACCATGAGAAATGTCTCCTGAATATAGCTGCAGATAAGACGAAGAAATTATACCACTTTAAAGGTGGGGCACTTACCATGCATCTATTGATGCATGGTACTGTCATACATCTGATTTATCCTGTAGTAAATGAAAAGTAGACCAAAGTAACTAGTGTTCCAGCAGGCTAATTCCTGCTTGGTACCAGCAGGCTGCACTGCCATGGGTAATGCCTCCAGATAAGAACAGCAGGGCAGGAATGACTGAATTGTGTAACCTCCACTTACCCTGGGCTAGCATAGACACATGCAACCATTACATAGCATCAGCTGACATGCAGTAACTCCACCCCTTATTTTAATTGGTATTATTTTGAAAGTCCCTCTGGACCCATGGTGCATTAGAACAGGTCTAACTGTTGTACTTCTTAAATCTGGAAGCTAATGAGTACATAAAATGATTGCACGGTCCTAGTATCAAGCAATAAAAATACTTTTATTTTGTCCTTCATTCAACTATCTTAAAATACTAAATGCAAGAGTTTTTAGTAGGTTTGTAATCGTCCAGGGAACCTACCTGAGGTTTATATTCATAGTGACTTATCTTTGTGTTAATATTAGTTTGCTTTAATATCTATGAATCAGTTGCATAAAAACTGAGTCAGTATTAAACTGCATTTTTTATGCCACAACTTGCCTGTTTATAGACCGCACAGACTCTGGTGAGACCATGACTGGGGAGTTCCTGTATTCAGATGTATGTAAAGCAGGTAGTGGGGAAAACTGTTCTTCAGTCATTCCTTCAAAAGGTAGGTGTCTTACTACTGAACTCTAAAACCACAGCTTTAATTTTCACTCTTTGAGGTTTGTACCTTAACTTTAAAAAAAAAAAAAAAAAAAAAAATCTTTATTTGGCTCTGTTGGATTATATCATAAGCACTTCTGGTTTGAGGGAGGATTAATTTATCCCACCACCTCTATTGTAAATGGCAACTGGTACATGAAGTTCTGTTTAGACTAGGGGGGAGAAAAAACAACAAGTAATCCATAGCAATAATATGAACTGCGCTGAAAGATGTTAATTTTTTAATTTAAAAAAAAAAAAAAGAAATTGCAGGGAGAAGTGATGCAATTTGCACTTTTATTTACAGTTGTTAGAACAGATCATCCATTTTGACCTCAGAAGTGGATCTCTCTGCATGTAAAATCAGTCCCAACTGTTAATGTGGAAAAGGCCGTCAAGCATTGATTTATGGGTATTATTCAAGGTAGTTAGCCAAGGATTCTAATTTTAGTCAATAGTAAACAGAGTAAATGGGTAACGCATTTCAAAAAATATATATCAAGGAACTAGACATGAACGATAATATAATTGTGCAATCATGTGTAGTATAATGATTAGCCTTTAAACTGAGTAGTGAAGTATTTTAGGTTATTTCCTACAAATTTAATTTACTGCTTTGGGTAGATTTATGGTGCTAGCTATGAGAAAATAAAGACCGTTAATATTCTTCTTTCAAATAAAGCCGTAATGTGTTTTCAGGGTTTCAAAGGTCAGGGCTGGTGGTGAGTCCATCCTCAAGCGGAGATGTCTGTTGCTCACGTGTCCCCCCAGTGATAAATCATGGAGCAGTGTTGATACCTAATAGTTTCTTTTGGTGTTTTTTAGCTGTGGGAGGAAGGGGATGATCTTATTGGTCTGTATATATGCTCAGACTAGCAAAGAAGTCCCAGGAGACATTTTATTTTTTTTTTAACATCACAATTTTTTTTTTATTCAAATCGATATTGATACTTATCTACAGTCAAAGCTGGTATAGCTCGCGCATCTCTGATCACCATCCAACACTCAAAGTGTTTACAGATCTCTGGACCTGAAGTTTTTTGATTTGGTTCATCTTTCGCAATGAAAGAGCTGCGCAATTCCTATCCTATTATATAACACGAAAGTTGTAAAGGGTTTTTTGCCACTGGTGTGGGGAGGTTTTGTTTGGAGGGGTGTAGGGCATGTTTGTGTTCTTGTGTGTGGAATTTACACACGTTCTTGAGCTCCCACACAACTGAAAGTGTGGATCGGGACTATAACCTGTGTGGTTAGAGCCAAGCTGGTTCTGTTCTTGGAAAACAGTTCAGTAGTCTGTATTGGCACTCCGGCCATTAGAAACACAAGACTCAAGGCTACTGCTTGAGAACGTAGCTCAAAGCCTGCACAGTTTTTGCCAGACCTATAGTGTGAGAGGCTAAGCCTTCGGACTGCCGTACAGCTTCCCATAAACCTCTAAAGAGTCGTTGGAAAATGTAGCCAGTCAGACAGCCATTGAAACCAGAAAGAATTGCAGTGGTGGGAAAGAGAGGGACATAAAAGCCAGAAATGAAGCCCACTTGATCAGCTCCTCTTCTGTCCCTAACAAGTTGTACTATGACTATTTGCAATGCTGACTAGAAATGTATATGATTAAAGTCTCTGATACTGTTTTAAAAGGGAGAGAAGAAGACTCCTAGCTGCCAGCTAGATAATTCAGAAAACAGAGAGAAATACTTAACTTAACTTCTTGCCATTTTAAACGTGTCTTTGCTTGCTGTGTTAATAGAACTGATTTCTGAAGAAAACGAGGAAGAGAATAAAGAGCATACGTGCGAGACGTTACTGATGTGCATTGTTACTGTACTGAGTCATGGGCTCAGGAGTGGGGGTGGAGTAGGAGATGTGCTCAGGAAACCATCCAAAGAGGTAAATTAACACTGAATGGGGGTGGAAGAGTGATAACCAAATAAGGTTAGAGATCTAGTTCTGTTGAGGAGAAGGTTGTGTACACACTGTCTATTTGTGTGTGTGTGCATGTGCACGTGTGTGACTATCTGAAAAGGATCCTGCTATGGTTTAATCTCTGCAAAGCTGAATCAAATTAAGCAGCAGCATGTCCAAATGAGCCTGCTGACGGATCCATTTTTATTATTTTTAATTAATATGACTATTATCGTAGAACCCGAGGACCCCCAAGGATAGCGGGTTCAGCCCTACGTACAAACCGAAAGCATCAACCAGGCCCCGTCCCAAAGAGCCTCCCAGGCAGGTACAGGGGAAGGAAAGAGCCATGCTGCCCAAGCAAAGATGCAAGTACCGCGGTTCTGGGAGAAGCTGAATGGAAAACTGCTGGGAGGAGACAAGGCAGGGAAGAGGAGATTGTAGGAATGGTTTCAATGCTGCATGAAGCGGATGTGAAGAGACGGAGGGAGGAGGAGGTTTCCTGTTGTGTGGGCATAGGATGGGGAAAGTCCGATCAGAGCTGGGGGAAGTTCTTGGAGCGTCCAAAGGCCTCTGCCTTGGCTGCATGTGCAGCTGCTCCTGCCAGCTGCAGTCCCTCTGCTTTTCTGTGCAGTTTTTCTCAAAGCCACGTGGCTGGTGAGAGGGGAAACGTGTGCGTCCTAGCACTACCAGACAAAGTGAGAGACGCCTCCCCTTCTGAGTCAGGGGAGATGGTCCTATTTCCCTTCCTAGCGTAGCTGCCTGCCTGTCAGGCCCCAGAGTGCAGAACTGTATCTTTATTCCATGTTTACTCATTACTCCCGGTCTTCAGCCTGGCCTTCGGGTAAAATGGTGTGAATCGCATAAGTCCTAATAGGACTCAGCTCCCAAATTACTTTGGAAAATGGGATTCTTAGGGTCTTTTGATGCCTTTACCCTTCATCAGTAGTAAAACAGGCACTAGCAAACCTAGCTGCAGTTGGCTTCCTGCTTCAGCTACTAAGAGGACTGTGTCATTAGCATATGTGATAGAAATTACTGTTGAGGAAATGTTTACTGTGAACTTGCTGGGAAAAGATGCAACTTCTTATTCCTTTATGCAGAGCTAGAGGTGATTATGCCACCCTCATACTGGGGAAAAAAACAAAGCTTATAGCTTTTGGGTTTAGAAATCAAGTGGTCAGGAAGACAGAGAAAATAAAGGCAAGATGCACAAGGAAGGGGAAAAAGCCTTGTCGATAGCAAGTAGAAGGGAACTAGCCTCGCATGTCAACCAGTAGCAGTCAGCTAATTGGCATCTTTCTTTTTTTCCCTTTTTTATTCTGTTTTAGCCAGATGCTTCGTTTTTGTTTTTAAATTAGCCTTGGAAGACTGTAGAGTGGTGGTTTGCAGTAGCAGATCTCAGGGGGAAGAGGCTGTAGGTTGGCATAATATTGCTGCTAAAATATGATAGAGAGAACTTGTAAGGGGTGAGTGTTTGGTTGGTCTGGGTTAATTATTAAAATATTTATCTTGCAGGAACCTCTCTTTGCTGCTAGAGTGATATATGATCTCCTCTTCTTCTTCATGGTGATCATTATTGTCCTTAACTTGATTTTTGGTGTGATCATTGATACGTTTGCTGATCTAAGGAGTGAAAAACAGAAGAAAGAAGAAATTTTAAAAACAACTTGCTTTATCTGTGGTGAGTATAGAAACAGTTGCTTTTAGAGCCAGCAGCTCTTTCATCTTAGCCCAAAGGAAGCTCCCTGGGCAGTGTTTTTGGCTTTGGGAAACCAGAGCCCTACCGTGTTGGTACATGTGCCGTTGCATTTTTCAGCCAGCTGATTTTCTTAAGTATCAGGCCTACATCCTGTTTTCAGGGGTCTGAAAGCTCTCCCCAATCTCAATCTTCACGGAGAGGATCCTGATTGAGAGACCCCTCCTGGTGCTGTCTTTTGCCTACAGGATGGAGAATTTGTTTAGCCTGGGAATTCAATTAATTGCCTGGCACAGAATTTGGGAATGGGAGTGTGCCATCTCTATAAATGACTCTTGCTATGTCTGCTCAAGCTGACCTAGTTCTTAAGCTTGTGTTTGCCAGATGTTTTAGACAACAGTCTTATGTTGGAGCCTGGGATTAACTAAAATGGATCTTTTTGAAGATTCTGGGATGTGTAGTGGTTTCTGCAAAGCAGTTACTTCAGAGTTCACCGAAATGAAACATTTAAGGCTGGGAGGTTCATGTGGTTAAATTACACATGGATACAGAATTTACATGAGTATATAGGGCAGTATAACTATGCAATGGAAATTTATTGCAGAGCAGCTGCTGAGTTCTGCATTCACTTTTATTCCAGAAAGAAATAAAGAAAAATAACTTTATTTCCATGAAATGCAACTAACTGCTGATTGCTTTCTCTACATTGCTTATTTCACTGTAGTATTACTAGATGTAATGAGTGCTAGTGGTACAATTCTGTATTGTTTCCCCCATCTAATGCCCTTTGTAGGGAGTTAATCCCTGTGCCTCTGTTTATTCAAGCATGCATTTCATCCTTAACATAGAAATGCAGCAAACTGAAAATGCTTTTTTCCTGTTCTCAGAATTCTTTTTCTATTTTTTTTTTGTAAGAGTTCTTAAATGCTAATAAGGGTGATATGTGGCCTCTCTCCTTAGGTTTGGAAAGAGATAAGTTTGATAACAAGACGGTCACATTTGAAGAGCATATAAAAGAAGAGCACAATATGTGGCACTATTTGTGTTTTATTGTGTTAGTAAAAGTTAAAGATTCAACAGAATATACTGGACCAGAAAGTTACGTTGCAGAAATGATCAAGGTGAGTTAGAAGCACCTTTTCTGCTGGGATTGATATCCGTCTGGGACAAGTTTGAGACGGTGAATTCTGGTGTTCTCAAATCTGGCATTATTAGTCTATATGATTGGAGTCTCTCCTCCTGTGAAAGAGCATGAGGAGGTCCTACCCAAACAGCTTTACTCGATCTAATATCCTGACTTTGTTAAAATGTTCCCTTAATTGGAGAGTGTACCTAAAGGTAGAATGGCCGTGTGAAATTTCTGGGCAAGAGGGTTGGCTCCAAGAAGAGATTTCGTGGATGAAGATTTCAAGGGTGGGTGGGTGTTTGTGTGGGGTGTCGGATGGTAGTTACAGAGCAGTCTTCATCTTTTGTACCTGTAGCTGCTAAGCCTTTAACATATTTGCATGCAAGTGCCAAAGTGGGTAGAGACTAATAGTGATGCCCTAGATCCACTCCATGCTGTAGATTGGTCCCATAGGTGGAAGGGAAACCATTCTGTTCTGAAACGAATACCCTGTAGCAGAAAAGAGAATATTTCCCTTCAAGTTTGGAGCATTGGGTCGAATGTAATCTGTGTTATAACCTGTTTCAATAGAAGGATCCTAAACTGACCTCTGCTTTATTAAAGTAATAAATCACAATTAATGTCTGTTGAGGAGAGAATTAAATATCGTGTCTTTTCAGAGTGCAGCTTCATAACTCCAGGAGCTGTGTTCTGTGTCAAACTCATGTCTAATGTGTATGTCCTGTTTTAGGGTTGAGAGAGAGAGCTGTTCCTGATCTACAGTTAGTTTTTATATACATGCATACATACATACACTTTTTTTTTTTTTTTTTTTTTTTGCAGTCAGCCTCATGAATTATTTTTATGGTGAGATGGGTACCATGGGACTTGTGGTCTCATTTATCCTTACAGCCCTTTTTACTGTAGAGGTAATGCATACCTTTAAATGGACGGTGAACATTAACCAGTTCAGAATGTAAATCCCACTGAGATCTCTCCGAGGTTATACATTTTACTTCGGGGTCATTGAAGTGTATGTCCTAGTTCTGCATTTCTGCCTCGGTAACAAGGGCTTAAAAAAATCTTGTGAGCAATCACCTGATAGAGGATTAGCACAGTGAGATAACTGAGCATTTTGCTGCTCCTGCCTGTAGGCTGACTTGATTATATTGTCCTCTTTATTTAGCCTACTATAGTAACTAGTACTTTGAGAAAAGATGGTTTTGTGTTGGCTTTTAAATTTTCTGATTGTGGAGTCTTTTCATTTTCGACATGGTTTTTCGCAAGCAAATAATAATAAAAAAAAAAAAAGCCTTAAATTTGAGTGCAGCAGTTGCTGAGAAACTGCAGACCCTTTGCCAGAATTCAAGGGTTTAATTTTCAGCTGCAGAAATGCTGTCGATGGTTCTTATTATATCTACTGCATTGAACTATGAGGGAGTTGTGCACAGTACATCATCTACATATCATATATGTAACAGGAAACGGCAATAGGTGCAGTGGAAATAGCTGTATCATTGGATAGAGGCCTCAGTCATTGGTTTTCGTTAGCCAGTTTTAAATAGCACTAAGACAGTTTCAGAGAAACCCTTCTGAAACCCCAGGGGGGCAAGCTTCTCTCTGTCTCTCATTTGGCATTATTTCATTAGTGGCACAAAGAGTTTCCTTTGTTCCTTTCTCCCAAAAACACAAATGTGGAACCCTCCAACTCTCTGCCCCTCCGAAATCCTTCAGCGAGAGGTAGAAATCCTTCGTCTGCTCGAGATGATGTGAATAGGAGTTGGTGTGCGGTTTATGTTTGACTCCAGACTTTTTGTTTTCATCATCATAGAAACAAATTTAGAAGACAAGGCAAGGGGAAAGCCTTTCAAACACGCCACCGGTTCCAAGGTTTCAATTTACCCTGCTGGAGAGGCTGTTTTATTTTGTCTGTTTGTATTGGGAGTGGGTGGGAATCTGAGATTGCCTAATGTCTGCTGCAAGCACATGCTCTTCCAAAGTCTAATCATTTCCCTTTTAGATTTAGAAGGGATTTTCTGCCCGTGTAAACGGACTGAAGGTGGCACTCTAACATCTTTGGTAGTGACGCAGCCTGGGCACTTCTCTTTCCAGAGGCTGCAATGTAGTATCGCTGTTCAACACAAGTATTTACACAGCTTTATTAACTTGGGAAGGGAAGCATGAATATGCTCGAGTGCATGGGGCGCGTCCACGTTTGTTTCCCTGGGGAGAAGTAGCAGCACCTTTGTGCTGCTGCTCCTTGTCCCCGGGGAACGCCTCTGCCACGCGTGATTTGGTGCGTGGCAGGTTACGCTGGGTGGGGTAGGGGAGGCTGGTGCCAGCAACTGTGCTGGCCCCAGCAGCAGCAGCCTTACCTGGAGTCCTGGGGGCTTTCTGGAGCTGCAGCCATGGCAGGAAGCCTGGCCGCCACCTGGGGTATGGGTCGGACCGGCCAGGCTCCAGTTCTGGACGGCACGCGCTGCTGCCATAAGCGCCACCCCGCTTTTTTTGGCATGGCTTTTTTTTTGCAAGGTAGCAGTGTGGAGATGGCCTGTGCGATATGGGGCAGATGGGTCTGTGGTGCCACATACTACACACCCACGCTTGTCTGGATAAACCCATATGGACCACAGGATCTGTCTCAATGTTTTCCTCTTGCCCTAATTCCCAAGCGAGTGGCCTCACGTAGCTCTTGTGCTTCTTGATTTATTTTTTTTCATCAAGTATTTAAGTTCTGTTGCTGTAATGGAGCATCCTGTTGTGTGTTCCTTCAACACGGTAAAACATTGCAAATGCAGTTGTGAAGCTGCTGTTTTTGGAATTACCTACATTTCTGCCTTCAAAGCTACTGGCTTCAGAGTTGCATCTAAATTTTGGTTACATAATGTACCTTTTAGCATGCAGAAATTTTGAGTCGGTGGAAAAAAAAAATCCTAATCATGAGAACAAATGCATTAAAATACATTGAAGACGTTATAGCACATTTCCTCGTGTGTAAAGGCCAATTAAATTACCGTGTAATACACAAAAGGAAGTTAGCAGCTAGATGTGAAAAGCCAAGGCATAGCTTGAAAGAATCTAGAATACAAGAGCCCTGCACAATGTATATTAAAAGCATTATGCTAACTAACATTAAAGGCACTGATTTAACAGATTGGTGTGCCTAGTCCATGGCAGCATTGCTTTGACTTGAGACTGATCTTTTTTTATTATTATTATTATTGTTTTCCCCCATGGGCCTGTTCCAACTCCCAATATCTTACGGTCTTAATTACTTTTAAAAGTAAAAGTGGCTATGAAGCTTACTATTAGTTTGCTGTGAGGTAGAGAGCTATTGCATGGTACCTCTGGATTTGGTCTTGTTGCCAAAAGTCAGGATTAAGTATCATAACTTGTTCCCATCACTAGTGCAAACTTCCTCTGAAATGTAAGTATTTTGAGATCCTCCGGTAGGAATTCTAGAGAAGGACAAACTGGAAAAATGAAGCAACTTTTTCTATTTGACACAAACAATTTTCCCTCCCTCCGTCCCCATCCCCACCTCTCCTCCATTTCTATAAATGAATTGTCTGGTGCCCTAAAGTTCTTACTTGAGCTCTCAAGGTGATAAGCAAGTTGCCTAAATAAAAGCTCATTTATGGACTCTGCTTCTGCACAGAGAGAGGGAAGCATGGTGCACAGCAGATCACCTTGTGAATGCCTCCTTGGATTGCTGTAAGGGTATATGTATCCAATAGTGCAGAAAATGGCCAGCAGTGCTTCCAGTGGAGCTTAACTTTTAGCTGTTATAGGTCATTAGCAGGGCTTTAACTTCTGTGCATCTGGCTAAATCACTGCAGATGTTCATTTAAGATAGCAAGACTTTAAGTTGGATCAGTGTCGTTCCAGCAGCGTTTATCTGGGAAAGATGCAAATTGTGCTACGAAGCTGGCAGTCCAGTGCATCTTGGGTTTCCCAGGAACAAAGGCAGAGTGGTTCACTCGCTGTTCCTCACTGTAGTTGCCAGGGCAGATCAGGTGATGTCTGAATAATACTGCGTGTGTAGGAGGTAGGGGGATCCACTTATCACGTTGGCCAGACATTGACATCCACACCCAAATGACTAATATGAACTTGGTGCAACTCTCTGCAGTTCAA